ATTTTTCTTTTCTGCTTTCATACTCACCGGGTTGGAAAAGACTGCTCCAATCAGGCAAAATGTAATGATGGGAACCTTCATTCTGTAAAAAAAAAAAAAAAGTATGTAATTATTATTCTCATTAAGTTCAGTTCAGTGTAAGAGTAACTACTATGGTGCATTAGCAAAAGAAACTCCCCCCAAAATAGGGTCACATCCATTTGCTCTTGGGTTTAAACTTCTAGATGTTAAGTTACTACAAACCAAACTGACAATTCAAAACTTTCAAAGTTGTAATCACTAAAGTAATAGTTGTGATCAAAAGTAATAATAATAATACTACATAATCATTTACTCTACCTCAGTTTCAGAGATAATATAAAAAGATGCAGCTGGTGCTCCTCGTTTAGTCTATAAGGCAGCAAACAGGAGAATCCGGAGTCTGTCCTGAACCTCGAATGGAAGCTTGCAGTTGAAGTAAAATCACGATGTGTGGATATGCTGGAGGGAACTCCCAGGACTACTGTATATAAGTATTCTCATTTAAGGTGATTGCATCACTTCCTTCCGGATGTGTCTTTTTTGTCGTCATGCGAAGGTGTATTTGTTCCGGAGAGGGAGTTCAGAAAACACACAGTGGCGTGATGATGATTGTACACACACAAACACACATAGATACTGTGTGCTCTTTTATCCAGTCACAAAATTTCCTACACCCCCTCTCACGTCTTTAGTGAAATATAATTTAGCTCACTAAACTATAGGGTTTGTGGCCTGTTGAAAAAATAAACTCACCCACTCAGAGAGGAAAAGAGGGCTAGACAGTTTCATGCTTGTTTCCGGTGAAACTTTTTTTTCTTTTCCTTTTCCCCTCCTTCCCTTTCTATTTGGAATTTTGTTTTTGTCAGATGATGGATTACATGGAACAGGTTACAAGTAGTACAAGTGCGAGGGCTATAAAGTTTTCAATATAAGGTTGGTTTAAATTGAGAAAATTAAACACTGCCTTTTATAAAAACTTCACATAAATGGATTAACTTCAGATACACACACACACGCCCACACATATACACGCACACTGTGACAAAGTACAATATTAATTCAGTCTATTAAAACAAAAACAAACCATATTTTGCCTTCACTGCTAAACGATGTTATTGGAAATTGTGTTTTTGGAACATTAAGCATGTACAGTATGTACAAGTAAAGGCTTCTATATATATTTCCATCCTGTGGTATATAATCGCTTCCTGGATATACTTATATGGCCAGGCCCAAA